ATCACTGGGCTTATCAGTTGAAAGAGTAATCCTTCAGCCTTTCACAACCCTACTATTAATCATAAAAAATGTGTACATTTATTAAGCTGAGTGAACTTCTGAGACAGACAAGCTTCTGTAATATTTCTTCCCTTCCATTACAAAACCGGGCAATTTTTAACAAATCACAGAACTATTCCTGTACCTAACTTGTCTCAAAGCAATAAGAGCAAACAATGCAGGTTGTCTGTCACACACAGGTTGCATCAACTGTCACTGACGACATACATAAAGACCCAGTCCCATATTTTGGTATGCATGATTTGCCCAGAGGATATACTGATTTTAAGTGAAGCCTGGCATTGCCCTTGTGTGACACGTAGCTAAACTGTCCTGTTTACTTTTCTTGTTATGCTGACCTGCTGCTATGTGAGCAGTTGCAGCGTTTAATTGCTGTGCAGTTGGAAGAGATGCAAAGGGGAAAAAACTCAGTATCAAAAAGGACAAAAGTTTATGTAATACGATTAAAACCAGGCAAAAGGGAATACTGCAGTTGATTAAACAGATCAGTCTTTTAATACAAACCATGTATTAGTACCTTGAGGGGTACTGTTAAATTACAAAATTAAACTCTTCCTACCAGTTTCCTGGTCATAACTTTTGCAGAGATAAAGTACTATATTTACTTGAATACAAGATGAGGTTTTTCCTCCTAAGTGGCATGGGGAAAAAAACCCTTTGTCTTTTAAATCACATGCAAGGACATCTCACTAAATACTTTGTCTATCATTAAACTGCTGTCAAAAGCAACATGTGCTCAGTAATAAAAACCAACTATGAAGTTGATTAAATGCAGCCAACACTGACCATGGCAAACATGCTTAATTTTTTTTTTATTATTATTTGTTTTAGGAAAATTTTTGATGTTCCAAGCCAACTCAGCGAGTCATTCAAGAACCATATGTGGCAAACATCCTCCACCTCCACCTGGGGCTTTAGATGCTTCCAAGGCATTTGGCAGGCATCCTACATGCAGTCCCGGAGGCTTAGGGTTAGTGTGACGGCAGTGTGCTGCCATCACGGGCACAGGAGAGGCACAGGGAGGATAGAGAGGATTGGGGGGCAGCAGCACCTTCTCAAGAAAGCCCCGGGCTGAGCTACTCATCCTTGGGAGGGACGGCAGCGTCGGAGCCAGGACCGCAGCAGCAGCCGCAGCTGCCATTAAGGCCGCACGAGCTGGCGTTACGCCGGCTGTTTAAACAGCTGTTCCCAATGAGGGGAGCAGCTGCACCAATCATGGCAGCCGCGCCGGCAGGAAAAACCCCAGCAAACCCTGCGGTAAAGGAGAAGCCAGAGAGGGAGAGAGGAGGCGTGCAGCACCTG